TGTCACGGGATATTTAATGAGCATACGTTGTCAGAACTCTACAATTTAGGTTTCATATAAAAGGGTTCACTTTAAAATCATAACTGAATTAACAGCAGCTTTATGAACCATGATTATTAAGTACAGTTATGACAGAACAATTTTGTTCTAGTGCTAAACTCATCTTCTCCTATGAGAGCACCCATTGAATTGCCAGAATTAAGCCACCCATCTGGAGTTCTAGACTATTGGACTGGGTTGGCCCACAATAGGCGGTGAAGCAGCTGCTCTGGTAAGTTCTTGACTGGCACCAAGATATCTCAAGAGGAGCTATTTTAACCACATAACTTTCCAAGTTCCCAAAGTCTAAGTGCATCCGCTCTGTAAATCACAATGCACACCGAACAAGAAAGCAGGAAAGGGAATGGAGCCTGTTGGTACATTCTTAGGAGATGGCCAAGTTACAGGTAGGGAAAAAAGTGCCCATTCTCCAATGGAGAACATCCAGCAATCTGCAGTCCTAAGAGGAGAACAACGGTAGTAGAAAGAGAAAGAAAACAGAACATTGTGTTCAAGAAAAGATCCAAAATTTGAAGGTTGTATTGGTAAAAGATTGTATACATGGTATATAAAGGTGGGAGGATCCCAGGGGCCTGCCAAATATCTACATTGTAGTTAAGGAGCCCCACAGCCCAAGTCCTGCAAGCCTGAGTCAGCTGACATGGGAGAGCAGTGGGTGTTTAATTGCCAGGTAGATATACCCATAAGCCATTATTGCTTGATAGGAGATCTTTGGGATGGTGGTTTTTTCCTCAGTCTTCTTCTGTCAGCACCAAGGAGTTAAAAGCATGCTGGAGCTGGGGGGATGCTACAGTGATGATGTCTATTGATGTACTTAGATAGATAGATAGTATATTATAGGACACACTTGATTCCTCTGGCTGATAAGAAACATGATGGGGCAGCCATACAGCACCCCCAACTGGCAGATCTCTGGTTGCTATAGTGACATGGGTTCCCACATGCAATAATAACGAGTCAACCTGATTTTGAGGATGGGACATGCAAAATAAGACAGAAGAGACCATTATTACAACAACAACAAAATTGGTCCCAGTGCCCCTAATCTGAGAAAAATTGAGGAAAAAGGCAGAGAGATCATGCAAAATTTCTTCCAATTGTGCTTGGTAGAGGCCATTAAATGGAATTATATGGCTTCTTTTGGGATATCCATGCCAGGGTGATGGAAGGTCCCTAAAAGGGGGGGCCCTGGTGCCTGGACTTTGGCCGCACTCTCACACTGTCCCCTTCCCTGAGGCCCCGTGCCATCCCCCCCCCAAGGCCCCGCCCCTGCTCACTCCTCTCTGCCCCCTCCTCCTCATCACTCATCCTTACGGCTGGTAAAAAGCGATGGGGCCATGGCCCCCTGGCCCGCCCTGTTTCGGCACCCCTGGTCCGTGCATTACTTGAGAACTTTCGAGAGTCACTGCTATATATTCAGTTGTGCAGAGAGGGAACCCTCTAGTGCGTCACTCTGGACTGGCAGAGGTTCTACCTTGGAAAATTTCTTTGCACATGGATTATGGTTTAAAGAAACAATCTGACTCAAGACCAGCAGTTCCAAGCAGGGCCAGCTCTAGCTTTTTTGCCGCCCCAAGCAAAAAAAAAAAAAAGGGTGGCCGGACTGCCGAAGCAAAAAAAAACAAAAAAAAACCCGGCAGCCGCAGGGAGCGCGTGGAGGGCAGTCAAGGCGGCTCGCAGGGGGGTGAAGGGCGGCACCTCGCAGCCAGGCGAGAGGGGCTCCCCCTCTGGCCTTGGGGTGCCTCTCCCGGCCAGGCAGGCAGAGCCCCCGGGGGCTGCAAGAGGTGCTGGCTCAGCCACTCCTTTAAAGGCGGCTCGGCTGGGCCGGGCTCAGAGCGGCACGGGAGGCGGAAGCCGGTGCAGGCGGTGGGGAGCGGTGCGTCCCAGGGAGCCCGGCGGCACAGTGAGCGGCGGGGATCGCTAGTTCCTGCCCCCCCGGGCCAGGCTCCGTGCCTCTGCAAGGCTGGGCTGGGACTGGCGGAGCGCGGGGAGCCGGCCGGGGGCTCCGGAGCTGCGGACCAGGCTGCCAAAGCAAAAACAAACAAACAAAAAAAAGAACCAGGGCAGGGCGGCCGGAATGTGCCGCCCCAAGATTGGCCGGAATGCCGCCCCTTACAATGTGCCGCCCTAGGCACATGCTTTCTCGTCTGGTGCCTGGAGCCGGCCCTGGTTCCAAGCCACATGTATAAAACCTTATGATCACAACATCCAGAATTACTTATCTCCATGAGCTTGATTTTCAGAAGCAGTTTTTGGTTTGCCCCCATAAATCATTACAGGCACAACTTGGGGCTTTGTTGATGAAATCAGTTGTTAGTTAAACATCTACATGTTACACAAGGTTCCCACAACTACTTGCAAGTTTAGAAAAGCGGATGGCAAGATTGTAGGCCAAGCTGAAGGCCAGATCAGAGCCATTAACTTCCCTCGTATCAGTGTGTCCATAAAAGATTAGTATTTTCCTCAAAACGAACTTCTGTTTTATTTTACTTAAAATTAACGTACTACAGGATTCACAAGATCAGCTGAGCTACCATTTGAACCCAACACTCTTTGGGTACATCTACACCACATGAAGGTGTGATTGTAGCCTGGGTAGCCTACATCCTTCCTATTTTTCTTTGCCCATCAACAGCCCTCCAAAACTTTGCACTAGGCTAGACTGTCTTTCAGCCCAAAGGCTGGCTGTGACTTGCTCTGGAGAGCGGGCCCCGAACTGGTGTCAGAGCTTGCTGCAGACCAGCATGGGGCGGCTCTCAGCCCTGCCAGGCTCGGAGTGGGGAATCAAGCTGAGTCACAAATACCATTTTCCATGTTGGGGGGCCGGGAGGGGGGCTGCTCTTTCATTTAACCATCAGGCCAGCTCTGTGTGTAGTGTATTTAACGGCTATATGTCCATTTCTAATTAAACAGAGAGCAGTACGAGGGGGAAATGCTGAGTACTAAAAGATTTTTTTTTTAAAGTAGTAAGTTATTTTCCCCAATAGCTACTCTTCTAAAATTATTTTAAAAATACCATTTTAAAAAGAGGAACAACATACTCCAGGGCATGTAGTTGTAAAGATATATATATGCACTTCCCCAGTACGATAGGCACTCACCCTTTGGCCTCATTTTTATGACTCTACACCCTGGAGTGGTGTTATTGCTTACAAATACATACATATATACTTATGGGTGTACGTGAGATCTGCAGATGTTTTATTTATAAGTGGCAGGCCTTATTGCATCATTGAAACATGCATTTACAAACAGATATAGGTTTTATGAAACCCTATTCCGTTGTTTTAATAGCTAAGCTATCCAGCCATAGCATAATAATGCACAAGGTAAATGTGTCTCCATCTCTAGAACCTGTTCCAAGTTTTCTCAGATGTGACTAACTGCAAGAATTTTCCAACCATCAAAAGTTAATAAAAAAAAAAAAAAGGACAAAATAAGGCTGTCTAAATCCTTGATAACAAACACATACTGATGCAAAGTGGAGGGGGTTTTGGTGAATTTTAAGGCCCTAATTGAGCAAGGTATTTAAGCGTGTGCCTAACTTAAGCATGGGAGTAGATCCATTGACGTTAATATGGTTAAAAATTAGGTACACAGTTAAATGCTTTGTTGAGCAGGGCCTACCCTATGACAAGTCTGAATTCTGAGCTATCTGCCTCAAAGGGTAATTTTAGAGGTAAGTCTCTAACTGGAGAACAGCTGCAATGCCCCCCGTTCACAGCATGTAAGAAAGAAAGGAGGTAAGTTACACGTATATTTTGTTATCTTGTTACTGTCGCTTAAAGTTATCCTTAAGTATGCAATGCAAAGAATGGAAAAACATCATCATTTATATAAATCTACAAAGTACATCTGGCAGTGATAAGCAACATAATAACACTTTAAAGACAGGGAATGGTGTGTGAAACATTAGTAGGAGTGGACTATAATTATTGTTTACTAATGCTAGATACTACCATTATTCTAACAGCTTGTGCATTGTCAAATCAACATTCTGCATTAAACAAATGACCACTTGGGAATTGTTTGGGAACAGCTCTCCTCCTATTACTGCTTGACTAAAAAATGCCATTTACAAGCAAAGGAAGCTGCCTCTGAGCCAAAAACAAGACACTGGAAGTCTTTCTGAGGAAAGATACATATGAACTTGATCCTCTACAGCCAATCTAATTTCATTCTAGAATATAAACGAAAACAGTGACAACAGGAATTTCCTGTAGGATTTCATTAACGCTGTAATACATTGAACATATCCTCTGTTTTCAATCTTCAGGTTTTGAAAGGTTCTGAGTGGTAAATGATGACAAAGAATGACTGACATTAAATTGTAATCCCTGAACAGGCAAACTGAAAGACCTTTGCATTTAGCTTCAAAATGGTTTTGACTGAAATTGATACCTGCATGGAAGTCCCAAGAAAAGATCAGGTGAATTCCTGATTGCATTGAAGTCAATGGGAGTTTTGCCACTGATGTCAATGGAGGCAAGATTCCACCCACCAAATGCAGTAAACTTGGTAACCTTGGGGTGAAATCCTGGCCCCACTCAAGTCAATGGCAAAACTCGGCGGGTAGTGATCAATCTAGTGTAGACGGGATAAAATCGATCCCTGATCGCTCTGCCGTCGACTCTGGAACTCCACCGTGGCGAGAGGCAGAAGCGGAGTCAACGGGGGAGTGGCAGCGGTCGACTCGCCGCCGTCCTCACGGCCAGGTAAATCGACCTAAGATACGCCGACTTCAGCTACGCTATTTGCATAGCTGAAGTTGCGTATCTTAGGTCGACCCCCCACCCAGTGTAGACCTAGCCTTGGTTTCTGAGTGCGCTTTGCAAATATATTGTTGCTGCACAATGTAGAGACAAAGTTTATATTTAACTTTGCAAGTACTGGTGAGAAAAACAGATATACTTCAATATACATTACAGAGTTCCACTTACCATTAGGTCTTCAGGTGCTGGCCTTTCCTTTGGTTGCTTTCTCATGCTATGTATCATAAAAGTGAAATGGTTATATATAAACAACTGTTCATTTATTTCACATGCTTAAATACTGAAGACTTCTTCCTTTAAACACAGGCAGATCATGCCTAGAATTTCCATGTACCTCTTAACTTTATCAAGTACAAACTGAAGACATGGCTCCTAAGAGCACCCAAAATGTTAAGCAATTTCTCTCGTCTTTTTTCAGCTTTTGATTCCGTACAGTGTTACTGCATCCTTAATAAAACTTATGTATTCAATTGCTGATGAGACGACTCTGTAGAATATGGACCGATTTTCTACTTGTCTTGTTATAGTGTCTGAGCATTTCAAAACTGTAATGTGATGGGTCACTTTTATCACTTCTGAAAGCTGGTCAGATCTACCACAAACTTCCAAAGAATGTTCTCTTACCATGTCTGGAACCAATGATTTTCTAAATTAATTTGGGGGTCCTTGTTAGTGGGGATTCCTTTAAATATAGTGATCAGTATAAACGAATCAACTGAGAAATCATGGTAATTTTTTTCTCATTTTGACATTATGATGTAGCTGGACAGAAGTAGAATACACACAGGTGGGAAATTTAATTTTTAACACTAAACAGCTATAGCGTTGCATGATGTCGTCCTGGAGTGTCCCCCTTAATTTTTTTACACTTATTTCCACTGCTTTGCAGGCTGATAGTTCGTTATGGAGCATTAAGCGGTTTATTAGATCAAGTTTCTCATCCAAATAGTCCTAGTTTTGTATGCAACAGGTGCAATTAGCTTTTGTAGGCTGAGTTTAGCCGCATGAAGAAGCACTATAACATGGCACTGAGGTGACCATCAGGCGCTGCCTACTGACTAATTGGATTACAGCCAAACAGCCAGAGTTTATGGTGTAACTGGCATAAAGACCAATCTGATGTGCTCTTCACTTGATGTGTCTAATACTTATAGAAGTCAATTGCTAAAATGGTATACAACGTAATTTTTTGGACAATAATACCTCGTGCTATAAGCTGCATACTGTACAGGTGAATATTCAACTATATCTAAAAAAAATGTAAATATTCTTGTAGTAAATAGGGGCCATAGTACCATTAATGATTCAAAGGACAATTTGCCTTCCTTATAGCCACATGCACCTCAGATAATGCACACATTAGCAAGTAATGCAAGCTGTCTGAATCGTGGGTGGGTAACAGTCCTAATCTGATATTCCAAAGTAGCTGTATCTCTTGGGAAAACCAGGCTATTATCCACCATCATTCATGTTTCTTGACATCTGTGGAAATTTTAACACAGGTTAGCCCTCCTTCTTTCTCAATAATATTTTTTATGCAACATCTAATTAATTTTTTTGGAAGGGATAAAAAGGTGCAGCCTCTTGCACATGAGTTAGTTATGCTGTAAAATCACTGAACATTGTGGTCTGCCGTAAATTGTATCCATCAAAAATGAGGCCTGTATTAGATAAACACAAACTGTGTATTTATTATTTTAATTAACTGATAAATCATACTGTGTATTCTTCATTTTCAATACCACTTGCCACACACTATGGGAATCTTGAGAGAGAGTTTCTTGGAATTGTTTCATACATAATGTATTAAATTATCTGAATATTCATTTTATTTGCATAGTTTTTGGCTCATTGGCCCTAATATGTGCTAGAGAACTTGAAATGTTTTAAAGCACAATCTACTACATCGCAGACAGCCATGGGCCTGATCCTGTGTGGGGCTCCGTGCCTTTAACCTCACTGGCTTCACTGGGAAAGATTCCTAAATCATTCCTTTCCTAAACACTGCTGCAGGGCCAGATTCTCGGCTGGCAGAAACTGGCATAGCTCCATTGATTACACTGACTCCACTGGTGCTGCCAATTTACGCCAGCTGGCCAGCTGGCCCAGACAGTGCATTTTAATAAACGGGAACATCTTAGTCAAAAATATCACATTTATACAAAGTTCAATGTCAGTTATTCTGCCATCATTTTATTACTTAAATAGCTGCTTCCTGTGTAAATGAGACATTAAAAAAAACACAAAACAATAAGCATTTCCTCTCTCCTGTTTGTTACAATGAATTGTACTTAGAGCTTTAACCTTTTGTTGCTTAGGAAATTTATTCTTTCAACAATATTTTCTCCCCTCTCTCTGAAATTTAAAGTGCCTTCCACTGAACTATTCAGCCCTATGGTGTACTTTAAAATATGACTCCGAATAAAAATTACTTACTGGAAAGCCAATGAATTAATCAAGGACATTGTTTACCTTTCTAAACATTGAGGCAGTTTTATGAGTAATAATACAAGCTGCTCTGAATAATGAAGTTATAAATATGATTCTCTCTTACCCCCAACACTCCCAATTGAATTCTTAAAATAGTCTCTGTGCACAAGAATGCACCCAGATTCATAGCAGTTTATTAAAACAGGAGAAGCCCTCTTAAGTACCGTACTTTTACGACCCTTCGTGTAAATAACGTTTACATAATTTAAACAGTTTGCTCAGCTTTGCTGCCCCATCTGCCCAAGGCCCCCGAGTCCCTCTCGCCTCAGAAAGGATGCAGGGGAAGCCATAAGGTCTCATGGAGCTGCAGAGTTAATGGCATGTATCATTTACATTGAGGGCATGGCATGTTTGCAAACTGAGCTTACCATTGAGTGATGAAGTGTACAAATGGCTCAGAGAACTCCCCAACCGGAAGGACTGGCGATTCCTGGGATTGGTTTGATATTTGGGGGGAGGGAGGGAGAAGGGAAGGAAGAAAGAGTCAGAAGAAGTGAGGACAATTTTTAAAAAGGGAAGCAATATAACATTAAAAACGGAGTAAGCAACAATGCCCCATCTCACACAGAGAAAAAGAGAAAAGGGTCAAATTCTTCTGAACATGTGTTATAAAACATTGAATTTAAAGTAATGAGTATTACACAATGGGTAGAAACATGGGGAAAGACACCGAGGAGAGGTGAAAAAAGGACAATGATAGCCACAGGGTAGAAAGGAAGGTAGGGAAAGTGTAAATGAGAAATTAATGATTATTTAAGTAACACACAAATGGTCTTGTAATTAACGAAGAGCTGTGAAATTATTCTTGTGTTGACCTTTGTTTCTTTCACCGAATTCACTTTTTATTTACACTCATGTTTATTTACACGTATTCATTTCAGAGCTGTCCGACTATGCATAGCTCTTGCTAGATTTAAAAGAAAAATTCTTACAAGAAATAAAAGAAATTATAATGGAAGATTTGCCAGCCTAGCTAAATTAACTACCAAGTATTTATGAAAGCAAATAAATTAAGAGCACAAGAAAAAAACGACACCGAGAGCAAATAACATTACCATTTGCAAAGGAGGGCTTTACGAATTTAGGAGTTTTTCCAAGAATGACAGAGCGCTCCACTGTGTTTATAGTGTAACAGCTCAGGATGTAATGAAATTACACTGCAGAGTACTTTAACAGTGTCATCTCATTAGACCTACAGTTGGAACAAGAGAGCCACATAAAACAGGCAGCTGCAAATGACTCCATTCTCATCTATTCTCATTTGCTATTAAAAATACCTTTCGGCGGCTTTTTTCCTTCCTGACATCCCTACACAAAGTACCCTGCAAAGTATGATACATGCACCTATTTAAATTAACAAAGGAATGACTTATTTTAATCTCACTGTGCTTTGGAGTGCTTTGGCCATTTGGATGAGCAATATATCATTACATACAACCTTCCAGCGCTGCAGGCAAGAAACTCAGAGCGTGCAGCATTTGGTGGGAGCCAAACAATTTCTCTAGCACACAACTGTGTCAAATGCATGCATGTATTCATTATTGAGAATGCGAGGAAATAGCTTTGATGTAGTGGAAAAAAGATGATGATAAAAGCACCTCTGCAATGTGTGTGTCATTATCAATGGTGGCAGATAGATACAACTGCAGAGCCTCCTATGTGATTAGTAAATATACATATAATTGCTGTGGCCAATTATCAGAAAAATGAGATAGGTAATTACAAGACAGAAAATTAACCAGAACTCTTATTAAGGTTTCGTTTCCAATCCAAACAATTGGAAACTGCTGGAAAATACAATTAAATCAAAAGTAAATGAAGAGTAAAAGGAGAAGCCAACATTGCTTTACAATTTTCAGAGAGTTCTATTAAATGTAGAGAATATTTGACATCATGCACCTTAGTTCTTGTTGGATTTGTCCTAGAAGAGGGAAAGGTTAGTATTTCTAAACTTAAAAAAAAAAGACAAATATAGGAAGGTTTCCACTGGAGAGTAGAAGAAACGTAAGGGAACACAGTGTCTTTAAACTTTCCTACATGTGATTCTCTAAACTAGGAAGTTACTCAGATGTAAGATGAAAAATTCAGGGCAAAATTTCAGGTGCACTTGTGCTGAGTGGAGACAGGCTGGTGTACATATTTCCAGGGTTTTCTGCTGTCCAGTAGAAGCCTACTTATACTCATGTCTGAGTTTAGAAATGGTAACTGCCCCCTCTCCCAAGTGGGATGGGTGGATTAAAACAGAACAAACCCACATGACGCGCGAAACGCTCACCGGATATATTTCACACAACTCTTTGACACCTGGAAGCTGGAGCTACCCCCGCAGAGCACTCTGGGGAGCTAGTTCTGTGCAGGGGCCACCCCGCCATCAGAAGAGAGCACTGCCAATCCCACCTGGGGCACAAGTGAGGAGGAGTCTAAAATGCTCATCTTCTGAGAACTGCAAACGTGGATCAATTTATGCGAGAGTGGAGGAGGAGGAGCAGGCAGCACTTAACACCTATTTGGTAGGTGATAATTTCTGCAATCACAAAGAGGGTAGCACCACGGGATCTGCCTATACCAGAGTGAAACTACATTATGGAAAGTGGAGTGAAAATCCACTGAATTGTATGAAGCAATTGGAGACTCTCTCTACTTCACTGGAACTAGAGTTCCCGGGTTCCCTGGTACAGGAATCAACAGAACTATAAGAAACACCACACTGAAAAACTGCAAGGCACTCAATAACGCGACATCATTAATACCTTTGTCCTGCAACTCCTCATACAGAGCACGACAAGTAGCACAAGGTTGCTGTGCTCCAGCCAAGCGAGAAAGGAGGCTTCACCTGGGTGCAAGCGAGGCTACAGGCTAGGCACAGTCATCCACAATGAGTGGAAATTTCTAACTCACTGCACGCCAGCTCCCTTCTATCTTAGGCACTTATAAGCTAGGCTGTGAGGACATCAATCACAGCAGTTTCCAGGTGGTACTCTACTCTCAGAAGTTTAGAATAAAAAGAAGTGGGGGCAGTAGGTGGAGGATGAACCTACATGATTCTCAGCATGTAAATTGGGTGCTTAACTCTAGTCTTTCCACTGAGTTCCATGGGCTTCGGATGCAGTCCTTAAGGCTCACTTCTGCTAATGGGCACAGATAACTTGGCGACCACATGGTAGCACACCTATTAACACTGACCTCTGTTCAGCTCATCACTTTTTATCTTATATGAGCAACACTCCACACTCACAACGTGCAAGAGCAGGCCCTAACAAAAGTCACTAGGCGACACCCACCCCTAGGCAGACGGCCAGCAAATTTCACTATGAAAGAATAATATTCCGAGTACATACTGTAATTTAAACCATACTGGTAAAGTGAAGTAGTAGTGATGTTCTGTGAACCATTCTGAAAATGTGTGCCATAGGTATTGAAAACTCAACAACCTGGAGTCCAGGGAAGAAAGATGCTGAGTTGTCCAGTTTGCAATGGGGCCAAACAGGAAGTGACATTTGGAAATTATTATTTTAGGCAAGTCAGAGGTCACTTTTTTGAGACGAGGTTTATTAAGAATATTCAAATTCTGCTATGGGATTCAATACAGATTCCCACATAAAACTTACTACGAGCTAAGGCCTCATTACGAAGTATGATATAAAATAGTTTAATGAATTGCCAACTAGCCAACTTGATTAAAGCTGTCATTTTATCTTCCCTGGGACACCAAACAAGCCAAAGTGATACCTATGCATGGAGAATGAATTGAATTGAAGACATGAAATTCTATTCTGTTAAACTGCACATACATAATTGCACCAAAGTCAGCTAAGTGCATCAAATTAATACCTTCATTTCACTTCTGAAAATACCTGCTGAAATCTACAAGCATGCAAGAGATAGGCCAGGAGGAAACATCTTAGCCTCCACCGGAAAGAGCTGAAAGAGCAGACAATCAACCTAACTTCTTTCATAGTAAAACATTAAAAATTGGCCACTGAGCTTGCTGACATACACAGAATTTTTGAAATCATAGTAGCTGGAGATTGAACACACACATTAGATTATCATATCCATCCCATGCACTAATATTAACATTAATATTTTTATTTAGAGAGTGAGTTTGTTCTATGTGCTTAGTTACAAATTTAAAAATACTCTGTACATGAAACTACTCCCGATATGTAAAATGTTGCTGTTGCTACCTGCTGAAATTTGAGCAACCACTGTGTTGTTACATATGAAACAAAAAGACAAACAAAATCTAAGCAAAAAAATACATATTACGTTGTGTCCTGAAGTTCACTAGACTGGAGCACTGGTGGACTCTCAAGGGGAGGAAAATATGATAAAATAAAACAAAGCCCCGCCAAGTCTTCATGCTCAAATTTTTTTGCACATTCTGCGTAAGATAATATTGTCACACATGTGGAGTAATGTTAGTGAATTGCCCACATGAGATCTAATGACCAACCTTATTTCATTCTACCAAAGAACAGAGTCTTATTCTATACAAGGCTAAAAGAATGCAGTGTGAAATTTGGAAGAGGATGGGGAAGAGGTACGTACTTTTTAAACTAAAAAAACCCAACAAAATGGACTCTACAATTTTCAGTAAAAATTGCCATCCTTTGGTCAATATGTCAGAGCTTCAATCCAGGGGTTCTTCTGTATTTCTATTTCTAAATTACCAACTTCTAAACAGAACGGCTTATTCATGGGAAGGTTGATACAACCTTAACAATAGAGCCATAAATACATTCCTGGGAGGCTGATGCCAATCAGCTTTTAGAACTTTACAAACCATTTTCTCCTCTGCATCTTGTTACCAAAAACACCCTACTGGCCCAAGTATCAAAACAACATTTATGTAAGCGAGACCTAACACAGAAAAGGACAATGTTTAAGTCTCGGCAGCTTTTGAAGCGCGTGGTCAGCCTGATTCTCAAAAACAACTGAAACGAGCATGTACAGTGAGTACAGAGAAGGGCAGTGGGGGAAAAAAAAAGTTTGAGTGATGCCTTTGCCTTGTGAATAATGAACAGTTCAGGAAGGTCAACCCATTACAACTGAAACCGTTTAATTATTAATTATACACAATCTATGAGCGAAAGGACAAGTTCAGAATGTTTAATGGGTGGTAACTCCAACTGGACCCATTCTTGGCATCTTGTTATTAGCACTTGTCAGCAAGGTGCTCAGGCATAAAGAAAAAAGCACAGCAGCAGAAAATCTGAGCCAGAGGGAGGCGGGAGGGCTTTAAACTTCAAACACTGCTCCTGATATTTAATTTATGAAGTGACAACGCTCTGCTATAGAGCTTATCGACTTTCACGGCATTTAGGTAAGTTGCATTATCTAAATGAAGACATGGGAATATTTACACTTAGAGAATCTCTTTTGAATCCCTCTTCTTTAAAGAGAGAGGGACTGGCTTTGGAGGAATGA